TCTCAGTGCGTTCTGGGATTGGATCTGCATCCTATCGTCGCTATCGACACTTTGGTTCTCCGAGGATGAAGGGTTCTCGTGTTTTATTGAGTGCGGCTGTGAGGGTTGGACCCGTGATGAGGGGGCAAGCGTTAACCTTGACGGAGGAAGCTGCCTCTAGGGTTCATCATCTTTTGCAGCAGAGGCAGAAACCTTTCCTCCGATTGGGCGTTAAATCTCGTGGCTGCAACGGTTTATCATACACCCTCAATTACGCCGGTAACTTTGCTCAAACTCATCTTTATTTTCCGTATCCGAATGATTGTTCTTCTCGCAATTTATCACCAAGTTCCAGTCTCGATTTTAGCAACTTTTCAACTTTTTTCTTGTCTTTTTGATTCGGTACAAAAGAATGTCAATTTGAGGTTTGCGAATTGCTTATGAGTGTTCAATAGTAATGTAATCTGGCTCTTGGTTCATCTATCTGATGCACAATTTATCATTAGAGTTTGTTTGTTACACGCTGTTTGATTGTGTGTGTGTTGATAGACTTTTCTTCTCCAATGTGTAAATTGTATCATCAGATGAGAAAGGGAAATTTGATGAGGTGGTGGAGGAGAAAGGTGTGAAGATACTTGTTGAACCAAAGGCCTTGATGCATGTGATTGGAACCACAATGGATTTTATAGATGATAAACTAAGGTTTTTCTAACTCTTCCTCACATTTACAAACCCAATCTCTCTGTTTTTTTCTTTCTCATTTTGTGGTTATTAATTTGCAGATCAGAGTTTGTGTTCATCAATCCTAACTCGCAAGGGCAATGCGGGTGTGGTGAATCCTTCATGACAAGATCTACTTCCACCGCAAAGCGGAGTGGATAACTTATCACTGCACTATCATATCATATGTATTTACATTGCTACTAGACTCAGAATCGTTGGTAAACTACAGTGTTTGCCAAATTACAGTTTTTGTACATGGTAGGTTCTAATCTTGTATTTGCCAAAATATTTGTTTGAATCATAAGTAACATTATTCTGTCATCTTCTTAATTGTTTATTTGTATAATAATTCGTGCGATATCATATGACAATATGGGTTTGCATAAAGATATATATATGAATCTGATCAGGGTCGATGTCGGTGATCTAACATTTTTTTACCTAAGTAAATCAATACAGTGAGATCAATAGTTTTAGCCAAATTTCTTTGCTAATACAAAATAAGTTTATCTAAAGATAGTAAATGGAAGGAGAGAATTAATATGTGGTTACACATAAAAAACGATGGACAAAATATGTGGTTAATTGAATTTATATTCTTTCTCCCAATATCAGCCATTTTCTAACCACAATTAATTTATGGACTACATTTTCTTTCGTTTTTCTTTTCTTTATTTAGAAAACCAAAAAAAACTATATAAACAACAAACAGATTTTTGATTATATATACAAAAGACATAAATTAAGGAAAACAAAAAAAGAAATCATGATTAAATGTGCAAATGTTGCTGATTTCATCGCTATTTTAATGATATTTTTGTTAATTTCGATAGGTAATACATATTACGACAACTGATTCCCACCAAAAATCTTTACTTGTTGTTTGCATTTAGTTTCAGTTTAGATTTTTCTATTAATTTCTTTTTCTGAAATTGACCCCATAATCATGATTTCTTTTGTAATAGTAGAAGTCATTTGGTAAAAGTAAACTCAAACAAAATATTTGGATTTGAAAATTTCTATGCAAAGTTATTGTTTTAAAGAATGAGTGTTGGTTTTTTTTTTTTCTTTTTATATTGGTATAAACAAAAAACTGCGTATAAAAAAGTTAAACCCATATAGTTTACGAATATTTTAAGCAAGTATTTCTTTTGTCAATGTGAATTTATTTTTTTATTTTTTTACTCATTATTAGTTACTAACTCTATTAAAATGCCAGGAGAAACATATACTCCTACAAAAGAAGAATGTAAGGCAAAGTGTTATATTTTTCTACGGTCGCCCAGCACTAGGGGCAGGGCCATGGCATTTGAACTTTGTACTAAGCCTGATATCCCCCGGTCATTTGAAGAGTCATGCCAACATGCGTGCATCAGGGAAATGCAGCGTCAGCATGGACAATGTTTTACCAACCCCAAAACAAAAAGAGCTGCTTGCATTTGTAGTGATTATTCTCCCGATAATTGCGAAAAATATTGTAAGCCTAAGCCATAGTTATAACCACGAAATAGTATAATAAATCACATTATCCTTTTTAATCTTATCGGAATATCAATATACCAATTTACTCTCGGTTATTTTATACATTTTTGTTTACTACAAATATGTGTCTCATGTTATTATAAAAATTGCATTGAATTGAGATCTCCAATTAGTACCCTCTCGTGGAGGACATAGCACGATGGACAGCGGGCAGCTTGTCTTTTCCAGAGACATGCATGCTTTTTCAATCATCAGATTCCCAAATTATTTTCAAGAAATAAGAAATCCAGTTTAACCACTGGAATTTTACCTGATAATGGTGTGTAATTGTACCTGGACATTGTTGGTGAACACCAAGTTCTTGCTTGATCCATCCGAGAAAAAGTTGGTGACGAATAACAAGGGAATGAATTTGACAAGTGCAGCGACAATGCCGAGCTCAGAGATTTTTCACTAGGCAGCTACTAGACACATAGATCAGCTCCGGTGCAGCGGTGCTTTAAAGAAACTCATTGAAGAAGACAAGCAGAAAGAGTCAATTGTGGCTTACCTCTTGCATCCTATGAGAAAATACTCAGAAGTTAAATTATGGGTTGAGAATGACTCTCAGGGTTCACCACCAAACTGGTCAATGTTCTAACGAAGGCGGTACGTACTCAAGCGTTTGGGCGTCAACTATCTATTTATATCCCAAGAAATCAGAAAGTTGTGCAGTGGAATCACCAGTTTCACTTGTGTTTGTAGAGGATACGGAGGTGCTGATAGTAGAATCGGGAATCTTTCTTTCAAGATTCTTGCTCCCCATCAGATTCCTTGTTGCTTCTTAGACATTGTACACTTGGTGCTATCAACACTAACTTCTAGAGTATTTGCTCTACATACAATAATTATATTTCTTTGTGATATATATATATTTATCCAATGAAGTTCCGTTTTTGTCATACAGAATTTCGATTCATATGATTTTTTTGCATAGATCAGTTTCCGGTTTCATAATGCAGTTTTGTTTGACAAAATCACGTGGATTTGTATAATTTAACATAAAAAACATACATCTAATTAGAAAAACCAGCGATATAAGTAAATGCTAGTTTATAGAAACAAAATTGGGACTCTTTTTCTCATTCAAAAACTTCCCCCAGTTATGATGTAACACGTGTTAGACAGAGAGTGGTTTAACATCAGTAGACAAAAAGGAATAAGAGGATCATCCGATCATGCATGCAAAAGCAAAAGCACCGAGTAATTACTTTGCATTTTGCATGGAAAGTGATCGCGCACATGGTAACCAAAAAAAGATTCAAAGTTATTAAAACGCGTTTTGCTTTCTTTATAAAAATAAATTTATTTTCTTTTGGCTTTGACGAAAATTACGTAACTCTTCTTTATTCCCTCAACTAGTTAGATAGTGACTGGAATGGATCTAACTTGAGAAGTCGGTTTGACATAACCATATCCGGTTTTGTTTGGAGCTGGAGAAAAGTAGGCTTGACGATCCCAATTACAATCCAAATTTATTCTGATCACTTGGTTCCGTTTTGGTTTCACTACAAAATTTTAAAGGACGGTCAACTAATGTTGACAAAACAAACAAAATCTAATCAGATCTCTATCATAGATTGTTTAAAATGCTACGTCTCTTAGAAACGATATAAATTTGACACCAAAATTATATGGAATAGACAGCGATAAAATGACCAAAAGATTGGATTTGAACCAGCCAAGGAGTACAAGAGTAACACAAAAACAAATGAAATGTGAGGCACCGACACTGACTCTACAACTCTCCTTTTCAATTTCACACCTGACACTTCCGCTTTTGCTTCCTCTATATTGAAAAATACAATAACATTTTCTTACGAGATATAGAGTATAGACATAAATATATGGAAGTTTTATTTTTGTGGGATATGAGAAAGTCCATTTCTGAATCATCTAAACGAACAAGTAATGTAAATTTTATTCTAACATCTAAATGGGTGCCAAGAGATTAGTTAAAGAAAATAATATTTAATAGAAAACTATAAACCAAAAAGATGAATGAATTCCTGAACACAGCATGATGAATTTTCAGTAATTATTATGCCAACAAGTAGAGAAAAAAAGGAAAGATGATGACACCACTTGATTGGGGATGAACGATGACTTATGTGCCAATAAATTTTTAAAACCATATAGACCAATAACAGTTAGAATTCGTTATATTGCACAAACGTGAAGGCTGGTTAATTAAGATATGTAAACAATCCTCTCAAAACGATGGCGGCTCTACAGAAATACATTTACATATAATTGGCGAACTTGTCAATAATGAGAGTCAATCTAGAATCAAAGTTTAGACTTTAGAGTCATTATACTCATTGATACATATTCGTTTCAGTATCGACCAACCATGAGTTAATTTGATTTGATTTTCGTTTTTTACTTTAGTATCGGCAATCAAAAACAATTAGATTATACATTCTTCTGCTTCAAAATTTTCGTTTAAGAAAAAATGTCATCCACAAGTCTCAACACTCTAAATGTTTACCAAATCTGTAAATAATGGTCCGACAAATTTTCAACAAAGATAAAATAGCCTCACTTACAAATTCGAGTAGCCACAATTAATTAAAATTATTTCCTAATGTTAACCATAACCGCGCGGTGGTATAAAAGCAAGTGTAGGTCGTCATCTATTTTCTTGCCTAGCCAATTAGCCCCCCACTCTCTCATCTCATAAATAACACATCACACATAACTCATCACCACTCTCCACAAAGATATTGCACAGAGTGAGAGAGACACTTTGTTTCATCTTCAAGATTCCACTGGACATGGCTGAGTTACGAGATGTGATTCCATCGATCTTCTTCCTCTTTCTGGTCCTCTCTCTATGTTCTGCCAACAAAGAAGAGGCGTTTTCTTCTACAGGGTATGTTGAAATGGAGTGCTTGAGCGTCTCGCCGTTGGAGTTCGCCGGAGCGGCCAAAACTGCCGTCGACGCGATCAGAAAAGCCGGAGCTTTAGTGTCTAAGTTCGACAAGAAACTTGGGAATTCACGAGTGGGTAATGCGATTCTTGATTGCGTTGATCTTCTTGATTCTGCCTCCGAAGAGCTTTCTTGGATCATCTCTGCCTCTCAGAACCCTAATGGTATAATTTCTAACACTTAATTACACTTTTTCCTTCTTTTTCCTTCTTACACTTAAATATTAGTCGAAAATACTAGTAGTCAATTATTATGAAGGAATACACAGTGTCAACAAAAATTTAATACAATAAAACAACCAAACCAAGTAATTTTTTTAGTTCACGTGGTCTTACAAATTATATGGTTTTATGATTATGATATATACTATAATTCTATATAAAACACATTTTGAGGTTATTTGCCATCGATTTATTACTTGTGTTATTAATGGAACCCCTAGTGTATCAAATAATCAAACCGTGTGCGTACCATTATGTACACCGAGTTTATCAGACGTTGGACCGCATTTGACACACAAAATAAAAACTTGGACCGCAAAAGCACGATATGGAGGAAAAAACGATAATTAGCATTTCTTATTATTGTATGTATAATATTTTATCTTTGATTGCCTTCTTTTTGTTATTATCTTTTCCTTAGTCTCTGCGAGAAACGGAAAAGAAAAACATCAATTAGTAATTAGTAACCGACGAAAAGAACATTATAGAAGGCCATTGTATTAAGCATCACTTGACACGACTGATCTATTTTTTTCTTTAGGCATTTTTAAATTGATAATTTCACAACTTTTTCTTCTGAATCGGATTCTAAGAACTTTTTGCTTAAAAGAAGAAAGTGATTTGGTCCCTATATCTATATCGTCGGTGATTAATCTTCGACGTGGGAATATAATATTTTGCTGGAAAGAAAGATTGCATTTATGTGGATCTTGGATAACATATGAATATAGCAACGCCGGTAATTAATTACATTGTCGATTTTTAAATAGTATAGTTTGTGGCGCCAACTCACATGATATGTTTCCGATTATTTGCAATTTTTGGGAACAGAAAAAGACCACACGTACGTATCAAAATAAGCTTAACAAAAAAATCAAATTCTTAAGTTAGATTCGTGATATGAATACGACGGAAATACCTGCTAATTAATTAAAGTGATAAGACAGAAATCCATCAGTTACATTATTTGTACGTAATCATTCTTTAAGATTGTGGTTTTGATAACAACAAGTTTATTGTGTACGATTAAAATATCTAATTAAATGCAACATAATGTCACTGTCAGGTAAAGACAATAGTACAGGAGACGTGGCCTCGGATCTAAAGACATGGATAAGCGCCGCCCTTTCTAACCAGGACACGTGCCTCGATGGCTTCGAGGGAACTAATGGAATTATCAAAAAAGTCGTGGCCGGTGGTCTTAGCCAGGTCGGTAAAACCGTCCGAAATCTACTAACCATGGTTCACTCTTCCTCTAAGCCCAAACCCAAGCCCATTAAAGCCCACACGACGACCTTTGCTCATAGTGGTTTCAGCAAGTTTCCCTCGTGGGTTAGACCCGGTGATCGGAAGTTGCTGCAAACTGATGGCTTGCCAACGGTGGCTGATGCTGTTGTAGCCGCAGATGGGACCGGGAATTTCACGACGATAGGTGAGGCGGTGTTGGCCGCACCGGACTACGGTACCAAAAAATATGTGATACATGTGAAAAGAGGTGTATATGCGGAGAATGTGGAGATTAAGAAAAAGAAATGGAACATTATGATGGTTGGTGATGGCATTGACGCCACCGTGATCACCGGTAACCGGAGTTTCATCGACGGTTGGACTACTTTCCGGTCTGCGACTTTTGGTTAGTAACAATTTATACATTTCATTTCCCCTAACCTAAGAATACTGTATATGGTTGAATCATATTTTTTAGTATTTTTTATTTTACTATAACGAAGATTTTGAATTGGTTACAACAAACATTTGGCAGCTGTGAGCGGAAGAGGATTTATCGCACGAGACATAACATTTCAAAACACAGCTGGACCGGAGAAGCACCAGGCGGTCGCAATCCGGTCAGACTCGGATCTCGGGGTTTTCTACCGGTGCGCGATGAGAGGTTACCAAGACACACTCTACGCGCACACAATGCGTCAATTCTTTAGAGAATGCATCATAACAGGAACCGTAGACTTCATATTCGGAGACGCAACAGCCGTATTTCAAGACTGCCAAATCAAAGCCAAACAAGGTTTACCAAGCCAAAAGAACAGCATCACAGCTCAAGGACGTAAGGATCCGAACCAGCCGACCGGGTTCACGATCCAATTCAGCAATATAACAGCTGATACCGATCTACTTCCTAACCTAAATACTACCGCTACTTACTTGGGCCGGCCGTGGAAATTGTATTCAAGAACAGTGTTCATGCAAAACTACATGAGTGACGTACTCAAACCCGAAGGATGGCTCGAATGGAACGGGAATTTTGCGTTGGACACGTTGTATTATGGCGAGTATATGAACAGTGGACCAGGGGCTAGTCTTGACCGTCGTGTCAAGTGGCCGGGATACCATGTGTTGAATACTTCGACGGAGGCTGTTAATTTTACGGTGGCTCAATTCATACAAGGAAACTTGTGGTTGCCGGCAACTGGTATTAGATACATTGCTGGTCTAACTTCGTAAATTGACCATGTTTGATCGTATGTTTTTTATATTATTTATACATAGATCATTTCTGTTTTATTACACGATATTTTTGTTGTGTTTCTATTTTGTATATGGTTTTGGTGGGAACTGATCATGTTATGTAAGTTTAATACGTATTGAGTGAAGTAGTTGTTTTCTCAGTGGTTCAGATTAGTTTTTTAGAAAGCTATAAGGTAAAAAAGTAATGTCAGAGTAATATCAATTTTTTATTTTAAAATATGATTTTTTTTAATTAGAATATAACATGCAATTATTATTTTATTTTGTTATTAGAATATGAAAAAAAATTCTGTTGACATATAGATAATTTTTTTTTGATTTAACATCATTTTAATTAGTTTTTTTTTCATTTTTTTTTTCAAAGACTCATGTCAATTTTTTTTAATATGAATATAATTAAAGAATTACAAAAGTTATAATCATGTAAGTTATAATTATTTGCGCGTATCAATTTTTATAAAATAAGATAATTTTAGTGTTTATAATTATATAATGTATTTATATTGCTAATTTGTTTTTTAATTGCTAATACATGTGTCAACCAATTATAAGTGTTCGCAAATATATCCGTTTCGAATTACTATATTAGTCGTATAAACCGTTTAATAATGCTCGCATTCTCTATTTCATTAAGTTCTCATATCGGCTGTGATTAAACCAGCACTCTCTTTAAAACAGAATCTTTACCCACCCACTGGAGTTTGAATCTGTGGAGATTTTGTCGTGAAACTAAAAAATGTAAACACTTCTTATATAATAAATCTTTGGTTGTTATGGCTTGATCTGGACAAGTAAAACGATGATGAAACACTTCCAAACTACGAACTGGAGAGGAAAAGATAAACACACGAACGAATTTGAAAAAGAAAACAACAAGAAAAAGAGACAAAACCTTGTTAGTCATTTAGAGCACAATAGTACATCACATGATGTTCTTTGGTTTTTCTTGCTCTTGTCTGAATAAGAGTTGAATCGAAACTTTAAGTTAATGAAGGATTAAATTAATTCGTCTCTCTCTCTCTCTCTCTCTTTCTCTTTTTGATTCTTAGTTAAATTTCTCACTTTTCATTAAACAATTTTGCTTTGATTTTGGGGTTCAAGACGGGGAAACACAAACACTATAGCTCTTAAAAAAAAAACCGATTTTCTTTAATGTTCTTCAGATTATTCTAATTTTTATCTGTGTTGTTTGTGATCTTTCACACTATATCAAGTTGCATCCTTTTTGACGGTCAAATCAAGAAATTTCTTTTGGGGATTTCATTTAGGTTTTCCTTTTTCCCAATAAAAATCAATCTCTCCCTCGCCGTCTTCGTTTCTGGGTCTCGTCGATTTCTCCCTTTTTCTTCCTCAACGAGTTAGAAATTAGGGTTTTTTAGGGTTTCGTACCTCGTTTGGGCTTCAATTCGATTGATTTCTTCCTCTGAGTTTCATAGAGATTGAAGTTTGGTAATGCTCTGAATGATGTTTCATGGTCAAGGGTTTTCGAGAAACCGTTGTAATGTTGTGGCAGTTGTTTGTGGAGACCAGAAAGCTCAAGCTCATCAACGCAATTACCCTTTCCCGGATCTCTCTTCTTCAGGGCGACTCAAAGTAAACATCTTTCGAATCCTTTCTTTAAATCTCTTTGAAAATCATAAACAATTTGCTAGATTGTCTGTTGAAATCGAGAACCTTTGAGTAAGCTTGAGAATGTTGAACTAAGTTTATTCTGGTTATATTATCTTGGTAGACTTGAAGGGCCAAACTAAATGTTTTCTTGCTAATATATCTTGTGAATTTTTATGCTTTGTCATGTTGTAGTTTCAGGTACTGAATAATCCGACTACTGAAGAGTTCCAGGTTGCTATAAACTCCTCCGCACCGAATATAGTGTACTTGCAAGGAGAGCAGAGTGGAGATAGTGATGAAGTTGGTCCTTTAGTGTTGGGATATGCTGATTATTCTACTCCTGATGCCTTGCTTACTCTGTTTGGCTCCACATTACCGACAACGGTGGGTGCCATTCTCCGTTTTACCAGCTGTAGCTAGGTTGATGCTGCTAAGTTTTTGTTTTAATGTAGCTGATTAGTCTGTTGATGATGCGTTAAAAGGCTCCACAGTTTCAGCTGCATGAATCTTAAAGACATTTTTTCTGTGTATAAAGGTTCATTAGTGAGATATTCATATGCTTTGATTTCATATTGTTGTCTCAGGTTTATCTTGAGCTCCCAAATGGTGAAGAATTAGCTCAAGCACTCTACTCTAAGGTACACCATTCTCCTCCTTTCAAATTTAGTACGTTTTTTCTTTCTTATTTTTACCTCTTTGTTGGTATCCATTTCACGCATGGTTATGTTAAGAGTCATGGAAATGAATATTTAGAATGTAAATGCCCTTTTGAGTGACAGTTTTTCCTTAATGTCACCTAATTGCTGGTTATCGCACTGATTATATTTTAGTAGTCCTTTGAATTTTGATGTCCATTAAGGCTTTGATTTTTGCAGGGTGTTCAATATGTTATATATTGGAAAAATGTGTTCTCGAAGTATGTAGCCTGCCATTTCCGCCACGCTCTGTTTTCAATCATACAGAGGTAATTGTTTACTCAAGCGTCTGAAAATTGCAGCAAGCCGTAATTTTAGTCTACAATTTTAGCTGTTAATGACATGTTTTTTTTGGCAATGCAGTTCGTGCAGCGATACATGGGATGCGTTCCAAGTTGCAGAAGCATCTTTCCGACTTTACTGTACTAGTAACAATGATGTGCTTCCTTCGAACAACGACCGTAAAATTAATTACGAGATGGGGCCCAGCTTGCTTGGAGACCCTCCCAAGATTGATGTGGTTTCACCGGGAGCTGATGAACTAGAAGAGGACAATTCATTAGAGAGTCTTCCATCAATAAAGATATATGATGAAGATGTAACCGTGAGGTTCCTTTTGTGTGGACCACCTTGCACACAGGTGGGTGTTGCTATGATGCTTGCTTGTTTGAGACAATGTTAGTATTTCTTTTATGTTACCATCAGTCCCAAAGCTCTCTTTTTGATATTTCAGGATACGTTTTTACTGGGATCTTTGGTGGATGGACTAAATGCGCTCTTGAGAATAGAAGTGAGTGTGGCTCGTTAGTTTATAGCTACTCATTAACCTTTATTATTGGACAGAATCATTTGTGTGCATGTCTTCAGTTCCTTCAAACTATAACTTTACTATTTCGTTGTTCCAGATGCGTGGAAGTAAGCTCCATAACCGTTCTAGGTATGTGTTTTTCATGGCCAAATAACTCTATGAATTTGTGCCTATGGAGTTGGTTTTAAGACTTGTTTTGTTACTTTTGAAACTGCAGTGCTCCAGCACCTCCACTTCAAGCAGGAACATTTACTCGTGGTGTAGTGACCATGCGTTGTGATATCTCGACCTGTTCTTCAGCACATATATCAATGCTGGTGTCTGGAAATGCGCAGACCTGTTTCAGTGACCAGGCAAGGGATTATTTTTTTTTTTTTTTTTTTTTTTAACTGGGATCTTCTCTTCATACATGTTCAATGGGATTGATTATTGTTCTCCTTTGTAAATCATAGCTTTTGGAAAATCACATAAAACATGAGGTGGTTGAGAAGATCCAACTAGTCCACTCGGTGGTGAACTCGGAGGAAACAAATCGGAGTTTCTCTGAGCCTCGGAGATCTGCCTCCATAGCTTGTGGGGCAAGTGTGTGTGAAGTCTCAATGCAAGTCCCAACATGGGCTCTGCAGGTTAACAATCTCTCTCTTTGCTCGACTTAGATATGTTACAGATAGTAATCTCTCATTCAATTATTTATCTATGCACCTTGTTGCCAAGTTTCTCAACAATTTAGTCAGTTAAGAGTAGTCACAAGAGTGTCAGATGAAAAAGTCAGTCTTGCAAATGCAACAGAAATTAATGAAAGCTTCTTAAATTTCTGAGCTTTTACTCTATATATGTAGAGTGATAGCCATGTGATCCACATTAGCTAAGAAGATGTTAGTTTTTATTTTCGGCAGGTTTTAAGACAGCTTGCGCCTGATGTATCATACCGCAGTTTGGTTGTCCTTGGAGTAGCCAGCATTCAGGGTTTGTCTGTTGCTTCCTTTGAAAAAGATGATGCAGAACGTTTACTTTTCTTCTGCGGACAACAGATCAATGAAGCTTCAAATCATGACTCTCTTCTATCAAAAATTCCTCAATGGTTAACTCCTCCCTTGCCAACCAGAAAAAGATCCGAGCCATGCAGAGAAAGTAAGGTACTGTTTAGGATGCCACAGGTTGAAACTTCCTCATTTTCATTTTCTTTGTATATATATAGTGCAAGTAAAAGTTGTATATTACTGATTGCATTCTGTGAAAAACAGGAAATGGAAAACGGAGGCCCTACATCAAAGAAAATCAATGTGGCTGCTCTGAGACCAATACCGCACACCCGTAGACATAAGATGATACCGTTCTCTGGTTACTCTGAGATAGGAAGATATGATGGTGACCACAACAAAGGAAGCTTGCCTATGCCTCCTAAGCATGGCGCATCAGGTGGCACTCCTGTGACTCACCGTAAAGCTTTCTCCGGTTCTTACCAGAGGAAACAAATCATCTCGCTAAACCCTCTGCCTCTCAAGAAACACGACTGTGGAAGAGCACATATTCAGATTTGCTCAGAGGTATTCTTCTTGTGTTGACACAGTTTTAAACTTACAAACCAACCTGCGTTTGGAGGGCTTAATATGGATGCTGTCACTTATGTAGGAGGAATTCCTGAGGGATGTGATGCAGTTTCTGATAATACGAGGACATAGCCGGCTTGTTCCTCCAGGGGGACTAGCAGAGTTTCCTGATGCTGTTCTCAACTCAAAACGGCTTGATCTTTTCAACTTGTACAGAGAGGTAGGTTGAAGCAATGATTTGGTTTTGATTTCTCAACTCAGCCAGCAAGCATTGTAGAGTTTGGCGAGGTAACGAATTTTTTTCCACAGGTTGTGTCGCGAGGAGGGTTCCACGTAGGGAATGGGATCAACTGGAAAGGACAAGTTTTCTCAAAGATGCGGAACCACACACTCACAAACAGAATGACTGTAAATTGATTGATCACTAAATCTCACTATTGTTTATCCTTGAAAAAATTTGAGTGTCGTCTTAAAGACTAAAGGTTGTTATGGCAGGGAGTAGGCAATACGCTGAAAAGACACTATGAGACGTATCTACTCGAGTATGAGTATGCTCACGATGATGTAGATGGAGAGTGTTGCTTAATTTGTCGCAGGTACGTTAAGAACCTTTCTCTTTGTGTTTCTCTTTGGTAAAAGAAGGATGCATGTTAATAACGCATTGTTTGTTTCTTGCTTTGGTCAATACAGTAGCACGGCGGGTGACTGGGTGAACTGTGGATCGTGCGGAGAGTGGGCTCATTTCGGATGCGACAGAAGGCCCGGCCTCGGCGCCTTCAAGGACTATGCCAAAACGGATGGGTTGGAGTACGTGTGCCCAAACTGTAGCGTCTCTAATTACAAGAAGAAGTCTCAGAAGACCTCCAATGGCTTGCTTGTACCTTAGCTTCACGTTTTCTTCTTCTGTTTGTACCTTTTGATTTTGATAACCAAATGATTGATTCCTCCTCTGATATTTCACGAGTCTTTCTTAATTTCATTGAAACTCTTTCAAGTCTTATAAAATCAGTGAGCAGAATTTGAAACTGAGAATGAACAAATATAACTAAAACGATGTTTATGAAGCAAATGTATGGTTCTAAAGAGAAACAAAGGATGCGTACATGTACAATTGTAAAAGAAACGAATAAGAGAACACGTCTATATACAGAAGAGTATTTTTGTTATGCGAACGGATGGAGATTACGGTCGTAAACCTGCGTAGAGGTCTTTAAGCGCAGTGTACAATGGCTCAGCCGCTTTGGGTTGATCCACCATCCCGAGTAGAATGTCCGATGTGGTTAGGTACGGATCGCCATAGAACCTTACATTCATGTCCCTTCTCGTCGTCACCACATTCCCTTCTAGAGACACTCCCACAAACGCACCTGTTACACACACACAACTTCTCTCAGGCTTCTCCACATTTACAAGCGAGAAATAGCAACCTTTCTCTAGACTATCGAGCCAATTATATATAGAGATAGTAAGGGAAGTGAAAGTTAAGATGGAGAAAAACCTTTGGATCGGCTGTAAGTAAAGCAGACGCCAGAGCCTCGGTCACCAGCTCGAAGATCTGCCTCCAACACTCTCCCTATAGGTCCTGCTGCTGCGCTGCATCCCGCGCCAAGAGAGAAGTGCATTCTGCTGCAGAACGTCTTCACCGCTTTCAAATCGTGCATAACTATTATGAAGTCCATCAACTCACCACCAATCTAACAAAAGAGTACAACAATTCTCATGTCCATATTGTTGTTACGCTTAAAATGTATCCAACGAAGAAAAAATCAAAGATGTATGTTTACCTGAGCACCCCAACCTAGACCTACAGAAAGTATCGCCGACGGAGCAGACCAAGACCCGTCTGATCTCCGAGATATCACCAGACCAGTCCCGAGTTTGTAAGACAGCAACGCACCAGCTTTAGCAACCGTCAGGATAGCCAAACCTTTAGCTCGACTAAGAACTGCATGTGGTATGGACTTCTCAGGGTCTAATCTCGCTACCTGTGCATTTCAACAACTAATAAATCAACCATTTGATACATAAAACATCTCTACTCGAACACTGGATGGAAAAAACAAACCTGGCAGTAACCACGCAGCGTATTAGCCGCCTTGTAGATCTCATCCTCCATAGAGAGACCAACGGGGAGATTCAACCACCCTCTCGTACAAGTCCAGTCCACAACATCATGCTTCGCGACTTGCACGGCGTTACTAATGGAGTTGATGAGAACACCTTGCAGAGGATCAAGCCTCTCGTAGCAGGAATCGCAGACTCTCTGAGGATTCCTCTCCCTGAACCTACTAGGCATCAAGCACCTCCCTTTCGAACAGTTCCTGCAGAAGATCCCTCCGCAGAACCGGCAGTGATGCCTGCCGCAGGTGATTGCGGTGAAAGGAGATGAACACTGCATACAGGTCGTAGTCGAGCTGTCCGGTAGCCACTGAGGAGGCTCGGCTTCAAGCAAGTCCTTGTAAACACTGTAGTTGATCCCGGTGGGCTCGAGAAGAGGCGGCGCGCTCGGGATGTAGACGGATGAGTGAAGGTAAGTGTCTCCGTTTTTGCTCGAGCCGAGGAAGGAGACATTCGAAGAAGGGAGGTTCTGATCTGACGAAGCGTTAGGGTCCTTGTTTCGACCGGTAACAATGGCGATCAAGCCGGTGAAGACGTTTTTCAGGTTAACTTCAGGAGCAGCTCCGTTTGTTGGTTGAATGGGCTTAGTACTAGGAGAGAGCTCGTCAGCTGAATCATATCCATCGTCGACGTAGTCTCCTGAGTCGATGATCGGATACTCAGGTTTTCTCGTGGGGATTGATTGAAAAGACCATTTAGGTGAATCTCCAAGTCCATCATCATCGTCATCGTCATCTGCATACTTGAATTTGATGTTTTTTTCCTCCAAATACGAAGAAACTTTTTCGTTGAGAGTAGCCATGCTTATCACTAAAAATTGAAAATCTGCAAAAGATGCAAAAACAGTTTCTGAATCAAAAATCACGATGATAACAAATATAAGTAACTCGATTTTGTTCATCTGTTTCTCCTTTCTACAGACTACAGACCTAGATAAGTAATCAATAACAAGATCAGTTTCATAGAAACTCCATAGCTCTTGAAACAGGATACGCAGCAGCCCTAGGCTTTGATTTCGATTCTAGTGTTTATCCAAATCGCATAGCGAATTAGGCAATTTGACGAGGATATCTCGAACTCTACCAAAATCAAAAGATGAAATTTCGTGAATCAAGGAACAAACCTGTGCTTTGAAGGCGAAGAAACAAATCAATTGAAGATACGATTGGAGAAGCAAGCACACGACGCCTCGATTTTCTGGGGAATATATATTTTATTGATCTTTGGAAAGATTGTATTTTGGTTTCCTACGGTAAGCAAGTATATTATTATATACAGTATACGGTATACCGTAATGATATACTTCGTAGACCAAAAAAAAGAGAAAACAAAATAAAATACTTCGTATATTGTTGGGCCTAAGAGGCCTTCCGTTGTTTGGGTATAAAATGAAAGCCCCAAAAATCACATACATTATTAAGGTTTTACTTGTGGAACTGAAATATAGTTTGTTCACATAAGTTTTTTTTTTGGTGCAAATGTGAAGATTTGTTCACATAAGTTCTTAGAAATATTGGACAAACATGAAAAATAAACCATTACGAAGAAGAAGTAAAAAACATTTTTCGTGCTGAAACTATATGCACATTGATTGGATGATCTAGGTTTACGAGTGAGAGGACTTGGCAAAACACAAAATCTCAGCTTTGGATTGTAAAGATATTATAATGTGGAAAGCTTTAGACTGCGTTGATTCCCCGTTAATTTATTGGCCATTGCTGCCATTTGCAGAGAATTTGAAGTTTTCGCTTTTACTATAGTTAAAATAATTAAGACAAGAAAAAACTCCAACAATTTTCATTCTGGTTTTGTCATCTCCTCTAAGAAAAATCGTTCCGACACCTCCAGTTGTATATACAAAAGTAAACGTAAAACAATCGTTTTTTTTTCAAATTCAGGGATTATGAAATTATTACAAACCAACCACCCCCAACACGTAAAGTAAACATATTGGCTCTGAATGGTGACACAGATCAAAATATACAGATCAAACAGTAATTACAGATTATGCAGAACAAATACAGATCATGATCTGTATACAGAACAAATGCCTATCAAACATATGTATCATATGAAATAAATCTATTGAATTATCATATTTTATTGACCCATAAAACAACGAAAAAAATGAATACATTTTTTAGATTTTTTAATACTTCATTCTTTATTATTTGATGTTTTACCTTTTTACATGTTTCTTATTATTTAATATTTTAGACTATTAAATGTACTTTTGGTTAATTAATGCAATAAAAATGTAAATTACAAGACAATTTTTACGATTTTTCTTCGCTAGTTAGTTATTTAAAAATGAAAAAATAATACACTAATGATTATTTTTCTTAATCCATGTGAAAACTACAAAACATCAAATAATAAGTAACAGAAAGAGTATAAACAATACAATTATATATGCAAGAAATGCAATTATTATAATAAATACATAAAAATGTTACCTAAAGATTAAATTTGATTATAATATTCATTTGTTTTTTTTTGGTTTCCTTAATAAATTTGAAATTCTTATTAGTAGTAGTACTTATGGATTTTTTTTTCATATCCCCTATCATATATATATATATATATATATTAGTTAGTTTTAAACCTTATGTAGTTATATTGTAATTTTTTCTGATATAATCTCAATCAAAATAAAACTAAATTTATTTAGATATTTTAGATTTTAGTCTTATTTTAATATGTTAATCTTTTACCAGATTTTTAGAATGATAAATGTCTTAATTATAAATTATAAATCACATTTTTAAATTAGTTAATTTGTTATAGAGAGAGAAAAATCTGATCTATATGTGAACTGGTGGTTTTTGACGCATTTACTGCAGGCCAAAATTTACAAGTGTATTTTCGTCTGTATGCAGGCTACTCTTTTGCTCTGCATTTATTTTTGATCTGTAATTAAATTGGTGATCGGCAACTTAATACAGATCAATCTGTATTTGTAACCGTCTGCTTTATATCTGCATTGGTTTTGCTCTGCATTTATTTTTGATCTGTAATTAAATTGGTGATCGGCAACTTAATACAGATCAATCTGTATTTGTAACCGTCTGCTTTATATCTGCATTGGTTCTGCCGTTCCATTCATAGCCATTGTTTTGCCATATTTGTATTTGAAGTCGAATAAAGTAAGTAATCATCCGTAAATATGATACAGAAACCAGAAAGGCTTCACATTTTCCGAAGGTTGTCCAACCTTGCCTGAAGATCACTATCTATTCCTCCGCCGTCCTCAGCTCCCGCCGCCTCAGCTTGCACCACCTTGTTCTTCGTCGCCGGCGCAGCCACCGAACCAGACGGAGCATTCACCAGCTGAAACACCGGTCCAATCAATGTAACCATATCATACGTGGAAATGAACATAAGGACATTCAATATAGTTAAGATGAATGTATATTATTACCTCTTGGTTGATGTCGATACCGATTTCGTCAAGAACCTGGCTAACAAGATCTTCAGTCTCTTCCTCTTCCTCATCTCCTTCCAAGGCATCGTCAATAGCATCTCCCATCACCTCGGAGACCATCTCCATCTTCTCGTTCTGCCTCTCGAACTCTTGCATGATTTTCTGTAGCGACGGCAGGTTCATCTGCCTGTTCATTTGCCCCATCGCTTTCGTCACGCCTTTCATCGCCTCTCCCATTGCTTGTGTCGATCTCAGTGTCTGACAATAAACAAACAAAATAAGTATAGATGCGACTATAAATGGAACTTCCACAATAACCTTCCACAATACCTGGATCCTGAGAGATACACCTTGGAGTTGGGATTTAAGCTTGTAAAACTTGTCAATCTGGTGACGTGTCCTAATTAGGTCCTTTGCCATCACTTTCACAGCTCCCTGCGTTCAGAGTTTAAACTCAGTAATGAAGAAGAAACAAGAAAAGTTATAAGAAGGAAGTGAAACGCAAACCATTTGGCCTAGCTTTGCATTCTTCTTAATCTCAGCGATGAGTTTCTTTTCTTGTGATTGAAGGCCTTGCCTCTCCCTCTCTATATCTCTTATCGATTTATCAAGCATCCTCTTGTTTTCCCGCAGAAGTTCTGCAAACCAAACAAAAATATCCAGTCGAATGATATGTCAATTCAACAACAAAATGATTTGGAAATGAAAACAGATTAGTAGTCATTTAACCCAATTTCACAAATTCTGATCCCAATTGCGATAATCGAATTGGAGAAAGTGTTTTGATGCAGTACAAGTGAAATATAACAAACAAAAATTGAGCGCCTATAGATCAAAGTTTCGTAGCTGTAACTTCCAGAGGAATTTGAGTCGATGAAGAGAAGAGAGAAGAGAGAGAAGGATAAAAACCTGCAGGAGTTTTTCGCTTTCCGAAGATGGAATCCATCATGATTTTGAAGCTGGATTTGAATTTAACAAAACCTTTGATCGGAGTAGGAAAATTCTCAATCAATCTCAAGGTGAAGAAAACGCGGAATCTTTTTTCTTTATATCAAGTATAGCAACAATCTTTCTCAAAATTAACTTTCTTTCACATATTTTGTTGTGTGTGTGGAAAAATCTCATTTTAAAACTAATTATTGGAATCGTTTCACTAATTAATAATGATGATCTGTTTGTAACACTCTTTAAAACAAAAACATAATATTTCATTTATTTATTTTGATTTGAAGTATTTTCTTCACCTTTTTAATTATATTCTAAGAAAACATTAGGATATTAACACCCCTAAAAGATGACTGTATTTTCTTTCCAAAAAATCCTTGTTGAACCCAATTTTAATGTTAAATTGATTAATCTTTTTAAAAAGAAAAACTACGAATTTTGGAATATTGTTAAAAGAAAATATTTAAAAAAAAAACATTACCATAAAAGAAAATTATATTCGGTATTATGAGAAAAATATTTAGAAAGGCGTCAAGAGTGGGTAATCTTCAAGTAATTCTCTTTCTGATAAAACCTCATTCTCGTCCTGTGGTGTCCACAATACTTCAACTGCCTGCAACATTTTTTTAAAACATCGTTCATTTGCGATACTAAACTTTTCCCATGATTGTAGAAACTTACGGATACATAAACACTTACCATTATTCGATTTCTTGGTATCGACCCAAGCTTCTGTAAAGCTTCCTTCAGATCCTCAATTCCGTTTATTGGCTGTAGTTTCTGTATACCCTTTGCAGCCACCAAGATTGTTACCTGAACATACACAATACTTCATGTTAATTGTTAAACCAAAGTAAATGTTACCCGTCCATGCAAAAATAACCGGGTTAAACAAAGTTACACAACTAAGCTAGCTTTTGCAAATCCACTCACTGTTTTTAATAACTCTATTACAAAAAATCATGCATTTTCAGCATCTAGGCCTGGTTTAATTGTCTAAATCCTATTTTACTCAACGTTCAATAAGGAATTTTAATAAGTGTACCACAATATATTCGTTGGCGAAACCTCTAGCTGTCCGAATTTTCGAGCTTTGTCTCTTTATGCTATCCACATTAACAAGTGTCTCCTCGTCGAACTTTCCCCGTTCTTCAATGGAGAGTTGATTAAATAGATTCTCTCCCTCTTCTTCTTTACACTTCACATCCACCTGAAAGTTACAACATAGTGGTTAGTTTATGCACTCATGTTAACTAAAATGGTGAGTATACATAGCACGGAAATTAGTCTTGAAAGAACCAGTGGACTTACTGATGAATAACAAGATATGCAATAGTCCGGATGCCTCAACAAAGCCAGTGTTGCCTCTATAAGACATTTAAAAATTAGAACCACACAAATCAAAAGAAAAAGAGAACACAATTATAACTCATGGCCAAAATCTCCCAAATATTCATTTTATTAGAGTTCCATATATAATACAGCCAAAAGTGCAAAAGGTACACAAAATCTTTATTCTAAAAAAAAAAGTCTTAACATTGATCATATACAAAACAGGAAAATAGAAGAGATACGTTGATGAATATGTTACCGGTTAAAACATAGCTAAGACCCTCTAAAGTGGATGTATCTGCATTTTCAGCAAGGCGATTGAAATCTTCTTGTAATGTCCTCCCCGAGCCAAGCAACCCTACCTAAGAGGATACATATCCAAATACACAAATATAAATGAAAACATAAGCAAAATTCTCAAATCTCATTTTCTAAACCATATGGCTATTCTTCATAGAATGTAACAAAGCTATAGTAAAAATAGTAACTTCTATGGCTAAATGATCTTCTCATGCATCTTTCAAGTTTACCAAAAGAAAAAACACCCTGTTGCAATCTATGATTATCTGTCTCTGAACAGTAACACCTAAGCATTTCCTAATAATCATAAATTTCAACAGATCTCGGAAAACAAAAGTTATATATGATAAGTAGCTAGAGAATTTCCTAATCCAAGTTTTAAAATCAACACAAATAAAGAGCAATCTCATACTAAATAAGTGGTTTGAAAGTCTTATCCCTGGATTCAAGAACCAGGGCTCGAATCCTCCCATTGTGATTAAAATCAAGATGTCTCCACAAGCTAGAAATAATAATAAAATACAAACGTTAGAGAGGTTACTTGTAGTTTAAGGACGCTAGTTTTCTCAGTTCCGGTTGAAATGTCATCTTTTGAACGCATTGAGAGTGAGCGGAATACATAAACCACCAGTGCCAGAGAGAAGAGACCAGAAACAAACTGATTAGAGATCGGTTCCGTTGTTTGCTGCAGCTCAGAATAAGACCGCGACGGAGCCGTGTATGAGTATGAATAGCTCTCAGACTGTGAAGGAGGCTCAGATTTTTGTGGCGGCTCAGAATACGTACTAGAAGAGGATGAAGTTTGACCGAGGCGAGTATAAATAGCTTGGCTTAGATTTTCGTTGTGGCTCAGAATACGTACTAGAAGAGGAAGAAGAACTTGACGGAGCCGAGTATGAATAACTTGACGGAGCCGAGTATGAATAGTCTTCCTCTTCGTCGTCAGATGTTATTGTCGTCTCAGAATACGTACTAGAAGAGGAAGGTGAAGAGGTTCGAGACGAGAAGGCACTACCACCAATCCTACCACCGGACTTAGCAAAGGCACAACTGGCATCGTAAAACAAAAGCAGACCGAGCAAAACCGCTGTTATGGCCGGTTTTCTTAGGGAATCTAGCGTTTCCTTGATCTGAGTCGCGATTTGGTCAAAGGAAGTCTTCCATCTCTGAGCACGATTCGAGTCTGATCTCGCGTCTGTAACGCAAAATGTCGATTGTTTGTGTTTGCAGGCGATTTGGAGATGAATGAAATTTGATTTGAGTTGAGGTTTGGAGAGGAAAAGAGCACTAGGATGATGACGCCCTTGTGTGTATAAGAAAGTCGGATTCCATTGGACCCTACTTAATTGGAGCAAGGTAGAAGTAGCCGCCATGATGGACGGGTTTCTAAGGAAGTAGCTAGGGTTTATATGAAGAACTATTATTTCTGCGGGAGAAGGGTATTTTAAATTAACTTGATTTGTCTAAATTTTGAAATGTAATCAAGATTCTGTATAGAGATGGAACGTATAATTTAAACTGATAGAAATATTTGTGTTACCAAATAAGGTTGAGTGTAGTAGTAATAGCTAGGATGGAACTCAACTCAGCCAACTCACTTGGCACATAGATAAAGCCATTCGAAATTGTATCTCTTCTTTGATGTAACGGTCTCTGATCTTTTATTCTTTATATTATTTTCCTACCATTTGTATAACTACACTCTAGTCTACTGTTAGATCAATAAATTTGAAATTTCATAACCAAAAAAAAAAACTTAAGTTGAAAAACAAGTAAGGTAGTTTATTTATTCTCTTTCTTGTCTTTCCAAAACTCAATATTTGACTACTGGTATTATAACAAATTAAAGAGTCATAAAAGTTGGTCAAATCAATATCTATAATTAAAAAACAAAAACAAAAAAAGGTTATAGCTTTCTCAAACTATTAAACCAACATAGTCTTAAAACAGTTTCAACTTTAAAATAAATCACATAAAGGAAAAAAGGGTTCACTTTCTTTTCAAACAACATCATGAGATTTGCAAGAACTAGCCATAGATTCTCAGGATGGTCCCTGGCTCCCATGTTCACCTCTGCTGTTACTGCTTTCGCCACCACCATTGCTACCATCTTCTCCACTTTCGCCGCTTCTACCACTTCCACCACTATTATCAATATGGCTTTCTCCAACACCGCTGCTTCCTCTTCCACTGCTACCACTTCCGCTTGCCATGTTGTTTATGCCGCCACCACCATACATCAGATGGTTTAGACCAGATGGGGTTGACCAAAAATCTGGGATTCCTCTAGGAAGTTGTCCCCAACCAAATGGGAACATAAGGGTGGGCCATGCTGGTGTAGGTAAACCTCCAATGAGTGGTGGAACTACCGGATAAGGTCGAGCTATTGTAGGATTAGCTAGTAGAGCATTATCCTGTAAGTTTGCAGCTAGATAAAGCCAAGCCAGTTGAGCATTATCCATTACGGAACTAGTTGCAAAGTTGCCGCCAAGGTAAGGCTGAACAATTGGAGCATCTCCTACTACACTACCGCTTTGATTAGGCGGAAACAGCGGAGCATTAGCCGTTGAGGTACCGGATCCAATGGAACTGTTAACAAAAAGGAAAAAAAATAATCTCATTTAGTGTTTGAATGTAAGCTCTTTTATTAAAGAAACCTAACAAATACATCAAAAATCACATACATTATTAAGGTTTTACTTGTGGAACTGAAATATAGTTTGTTCACATAAGTTTTTTTTTTGGTGCAAATGTGAAGATTTGTTCACATAAGTTCTTAGAAATATTGGACAAACATGAAAAATAAACCATTACGAAGAAGAAGTAAAAAACATTTTTCGTGCTGAAACTATATGCACATTGATTGGATGATCTAGGTTTACGAGTGAGAGGACTTGGCAAAACAGAAAATCTCAGCTTTGGATTGTAAAGATATTATAATGTGGAAAGCTTTAGACTGCGTTGATTCCCCGTTAATTTATTGGCCATTGCTGCCATTTGCAGAGAATTTGAAGTTTTCGCTTTTACTATAGTTAAAA